CTCCCACCAACCTCCACACATACTCGTGTCCCTCCACATCTCCTCCTCTCTCATGCCCCCCCCCTCTCTTTCCGTTTTCGTTCCCCCTCCCCCCCGCCCCCATCTCTCCTGTCTCCCCCCCTCTCTCCTGTCCCCCCCCCTCTCCCCATAACTATTCAATCTGAATACTACTCTCCCTCTTCCCTGATGCGTCTTGTGAATATTCGCCCCCCCCCCCCCCCCCCCCGCGAACTGCTTTTTACGGTTTCCCCGGAGTTGGGTTTTCGCTGGCATTTTTTCGAAAATGCTGCTCTCGCTGAGGCGCCGGCATCATTTTCGGGCCCCGCTCGTTCCGAATCGTGCTCCCGCTGCAGCGCTGGCCTCATTTCCGCCGGCGCCCAGGCTGCACGCCCGAGCCGGCGTCCGGGCCAGCGCTCGGGCCGGGTCCGGAGACGGTTCCGGCCGGCGCCGGAAAATCGAGTTTTGAGGCGGCGCCGAAAAAAAACAATTCTAATACACATTTTTCTTTTGAAAATGCAAAATGTATGCTTCTGGCGCCCGGGAGGCCTCCCGGGCCGATTCCCCCAAGCCGGCGCCCGAGCCGGCGCCCGGGCCGGACGCCCGAGCCGGCGCCTGGGCCGGCGCCTGGGCCGGGTCCGGAGCCGGTTCCGGCCGGCGCCGGCAAATCGACTTCCGAGGCGGCGCCGAAAAAATGCCATTCCAATGCAATTTGTTTTGAAAATGCTGAATTTCTGCTTCTGGCGCCCGGGAACCTTCCCCCGGAGTTAGGTTTTCGCTTGCATTTTTTCCCCAAAGTGCTGTTTTCGCTGAGGCGCCGGCCTCGTTTTCGGGCCCCGCTCGTTCCGAATCGTGTTCTCGCTGCAGCGCTGGCCTCATTTCCGTGTTTCCGCTCGTTCCGAATCGTGCTCCCGCTGCAGCGTTGGCATCATTTCCGCGCTTCCGCTCGTTTCGACTCGTGCTCCCGCTGCAGCGCTGGCGTCGTTTCCCGTGCCATGCCACGGCATGCAATGCAATGCTCGGTTGATACTACTTTGCGGTGCTCTTCTGCGCCATGCCACGCCGTGCTCTACAATGCATCGCGTACCCTTTCGGGATCATCGCCCTGCTTGACATCCGACTGTGCGAGTAGAGAGGGGATCTGCGCCATGGTAAGGGATGGGAGGGAGGGGTCGGACGTCAGATATGACGCGAGCGCACCTAGCTTGCCGCCCCCCCCTCTCTCCTGTCCCCCCCCTCCTGTCTCCTGTCTGAACCCCTTCCTCTCTCCTGCCCCCCCTCCTCTTTCCTTCCCCGCCCCTCGAGAATCAATTATTTCGTCGTTGGGTCCCCCCCCTCTTAGAACGAAGCTTGAGCGAACCGCCCCCCCCCCTCTCATTTCCCCACCTCCTCGCGTGTCAATTATTTCGTCTGTTTTCGTCGTTTGCGCCCCCCCCACCCACCCCATTCAGAGCGAAGCTCGAGCGAGCTCAAGCCCACGCTTTCAGAAACTCACACGCCAGATCGGCTGATTATTTTCAATTGACGTGCCCCTCCCGGGGCTCGCACCTTGATTTTATGAGGGAAAGTGCGGTGTCACCAAGCTGTGCTGTTGGCCCCCGAACTACAACAACAACGGCTCCCGCATGATACCGCCTCGCAGTTTATTACGAAATGACGCTCTCGCGCGGGCTTCCTGAAATTTTCTACAGGAATCGCGCTCTCGCGTGGGACCTCCCAGGAATGTTTTCAGACGCCGCGCCCTCGACACTCAGGAATCACACTCTCGCGCGGTATCGTTCGAGACTTCCCCGCGATTCATGCAGGAGTCACGATTCAGCAACCCACCTGCTCGACCCGCCCGCTATGGGTCTGCCCGCCCCCCGATTTGCCCGTCTGGTTGTACCTCTCCTGCTAATTTATTTCATGCTCCATGCTTCTCCCACCCGTTCCATCTTTCCTCTCTTCCCCTGTCGTAGGCGCTGCACTGATTATGCACGTGGCAGGTGGGGAAGGTATACCCTTCGGGGGCACGATCGAAGACGAAGCGGGCGGGTACCGAGGGTTTGGGATATACGTGATGTATGTCACGCGAGCAGATAAGAACTGACAGTCTGAATCGTATCGATGCTGTTCGTAGCATCGACCGTCCTGGCCCCAATTGGTTTTTGAGATTTTGCCCTTCTCGGAAGATATAATTGGTAACTTCAAGGGTCGAGAAGGGGATGGGGGGCGCGAGCTCGCCCTACGGGGCCGGGAGGGGCGTGTGCACTGGGGCGGGGTCCCCGAACACACGCCACCGGGTCGGGTGAGGCGTTGGCGCACCAGGAGCGCAGACTACCAGCACACCCTACATATTCGTAGCGATTTCACTGATTCTGATAGGGCCGGAAAGTCTGAGCAGACACCCCGGGGCCAAGTGAGGCGTGGGCGAATGTGAGCGCGCGGGCGACAAACAAATCTTGAGGAATTAAGGGATCCTCCGGGATTTCTCAGGACTCCTTGAGGAATCCTCAGGAGTTCC